CCTCGCCCTAATAACTGCTCGAAGACGATTCTTCATAGACATGATCAGCTTCTGAATTGATTCTTGTGGGATACCTTCCCACTCGTAAATCAACGCCGATTTCAGCTCATTCAGACATGAAGGAGCAGGAGTTCTGGAACGAAACTTCCTCTTCGGTTCATTCCACACGTGCTCAATGGGATTAAAGTCGGCTGAGTGCTGGCCAGTGCAATGTGGCGATACCGACTTCTTCGAGGTATACAGTTGTTACACGGGTAGTGTGACAACGAGCGTTGTCGTGCATAAGGAGGAAGTGATCACCAATATATCCAGCATAGGTAAAGACATGTTCCAGCAGAATATTGGAAATGTACCAGTCCGAAGTTAGACCGCCTCCTTGTCTCCCGCCAGGCACGAAAACAAGCTCGGTTTTACCATCGAAGGAAATACCGGCCCACATACAATGGCGCCCCCATAAGCCACTGTTTCAGCGAAACAGCACTGCGAAAATCGCTCCCCAGGCCGCCTGTAGACCCGACCTCTTCGGTCGCTACCGTGCAAACACATCTTGCTCTCGTCGGAGAAAAAGGCTTGCCTCTATTGCTCAACCTCCCAATCAAGATGGGTGCGAGCAAATTGAAGGAGAGCTTGTCGGTGAGCTACCGTGAGTTTCGTACTTGTGGGAGGCCTTTTTGGAGTCAGATTCGCTAGCTTGAGTCGTCGACAAAGTGTCCACTCGCTGGCTGCTACCCCACGAATATCTCGGAGCTCCTGTTGGACGTCGACACCATGTAAATGCCGATTTCGGAGAGAGGTTAACACGATAAAACGGTCATCCCTCTCCGATGTGCACCGGCGCTGTCCAGATCTTGGTCTCGGGATAAAGCCACCAGTCTCCTGAAAGCGCTTGTAAGCTTTCGAAACACAGGACTGGCTTATGTGGAGTCAACGAGCGACAACCCGCAGGCTGAGCCCTTCTTGCAATAGGTCTACGATTTGTGCTGCTTCTGTAGGTGTTGTCTCCATTGTCGTAAAAGGTAATGGATCAAAATTAGCGGAGATGTGTATCGGTCAACGTGTGAAAGTCAACTGATAAAGAAAATCCGATAACAGGTGCTTTTATAGGGGTCAATAAGTCGCAACTCGCGACGTATCAAGCAATTGAAACACGTCTTTTTCGTTATTCCGTTATTGAAACACGTTATTCCTTCACTTAATCCGGGATAGCTTCTTAAATACTGGCTTGATTTTAATGAATTTAGTATCAGTTTAAAGTTAAGAATTGAACCTTTAAAACGATGTCATTTTTATGATTATTAAAAAAAAATTTAGTACAAGAGATCGCGCGTAACTAATTTCAAGTAAGTGATTCCAAACTTTTGCTCGCGAGTGTAGATCTATCTTTAATTCTGTTTGAGCATGTACAAGAGAGAACCACCCGTGTCCCCGATATTGACGAGCACAAGCCTTCTGTGTTGGACTTTTTGCTGACCACCCATCCAGCCGAATACAGTTTGGCGGTCGACGTTCCGCTAAGATCGTCTGATCACTGCCATACCACTCTCGTCCTGATCGTCGAACAACGACCGGGTATCGAAGAGTTTGGCGGTTTATCTCAGCAGATTGCGATGGATTGCCTGAATTTTATACATCCTACCCATGGGGGTTCTGCTTTTCCTCTGGTTATCCTGAAGTCTGTATGGACCGTCTTAAAGACGTGGTGCTCCAGGGTCCAGGGGATGGAATTGTTTATTCTCTCCTCTGATGTGCCCGTTGAGAGTCGGAGTAAATCCTGGTATAATAATCCCAGTAGGGATGCTGCACACGTTCTAGCCGTTTGCATACGCGGCCTGGAACGATGCAAGGAGACCTCGAGATCCGAAAGTCTTAGAGGAAAGGCGGAAATATAACGTCGCTTCCCAGGACGTACAATACAGCTATTGCCGAATCGAAGTCGGAGCACGTTTTCAGAATTGGAGAGCTACTTAAGTGCTATCTCTCCGGGAGCCGTGCTTTTTGGTGGCTCGCCAAAGCTGCAGAAGGAAATTATTGCAGGTCTAGTGTCCCACCACTACGCAAGTCCGATGACAGTTTGGCCCATAGTGCGAAAGAGAAGGCTGACCTTCTGGTCAAACTCTTCGCCTCGAACTCGACTGGACGACGGGGGTGCCACACCACCTAACATCCCCTGGTGTGATAGTTCCCTGCCGGAGATCTGCTTCACACAGTGTGCAGTCCGGCGGAAGCTCGCGACTCCTGGACGTCCATAAGTGGAGTGGGCCAGATTGCATACCTGCAGTGGTTTTGGAAACGTACGCCCCTGAGCTGACATCTGCGCTAACGCGTTTGTATCACCTCTGATATAGTACAAGCCGGGTTCCGTCTTCATGAAAGACAAGCATTCGGCAAAACACTGCCCATATCCACCCTATCCCCAAGAAGGGCGACTGGTCGGACCCATAGTCTATAGACCTATCGCGATAACTTCCTTGCCTTCCAAGGTGATGTAGCGAATAATAAATACTCAACTCCTAAAGTATCTTGAGGATCGCCAGCTGATCAGTAACCGACACTTAAGGTTTCCGTCATGGTCGCTCAGCTGGCGATCTTCTTGTATACCTTACTTACAAGTGGGCTGAAGCATTGGAGAGCAAGGGCGAGGCTCTCGCGGTGAGCCTAGATATCGCGAAGGCGTTCGACAGGGTCTGGCATAGGCCACTTCTGTCGAAGTTACCGTCTTACGGAATCCCCGAGAGACTGTATGATGATCGCTAGCTTTTTGGATGGACGGAGCATCACTGTCGTAGACGGTTGCTGCTCCGATACTATGACTATTACGCCCGCGTTCCACATGGCTCGGTGCTCTCCCCACGCTTTTCATCCTGTATATCAATGTCATGCTATGTCTGAAGTGGAGAACTCTCTGGGGCGAATGGAACTTAGTTCAATTCAACCCGTCGAAGACACAAGCTTGCGCGTTCACTGCGAAGAAGGATCCTTTTGTCATGGTGCCGCAATTCCAAGGAGTATCCCTGTAACATTCCACGAGTATGGGGTACGAGTATGGAGTACTTGGGGTCGACATTTCAAGCGATGTCGTTTCGGAGTCATTTGGGGGGCAAAGCCAGGTTGGCGATCAAAATACTGGGAGTCCTCAACAGAGCGATCCGGTTCTTCATACTTGGACAAAGACTTTTGCTTTATAAAGCACAGGTCCGGCCTCGCATGGAGTACTGCTCACACCTCTGGGCCGGGACTCCCAAATACCAGCTACCTACTTCCATTTCACTCCATACAGAAGAGGGCCGTTCGGATTGTCGATAGTTCTATTCTCACGGATCGCTTGGAACCTTCTGGGTCTGCGGAGAGACTTCGCTTCTCTCTGTATTTTGTACCGTATGTTCCATGGGGAGTACTCTAAGGAATTTTTCTTCTTGCTTCTGGAGAATATTTACTGGTAGGTAGAGGCTTGGCTCTATCCCTGGCAGTGCTGATTAAGCTAAAGCAAGGGTTCCCAAGCTTATTTTGTCTACTGCCTTAAATTATTTTTAGGGCCCCCATTTTTTCACCTACTTAAAAACTACTATAGCTCAGTAAGAGTCCTAGATTAAATTACAAATCGCCTCCAAAGCCTCTACACGACGCCCCCTTTTTTTCTGGGTCTCTTACCGCCCCGCCCCCTTTAGACCTGCAGCGCCGATAAGGGGGCGTTATCGCCTACCCAGGGAATGGCTCAGCTATTCCAAAAAAATATATACTTCTATTTACTATATACCTATAGGTCTTGGATATCTAATAAACGAACTTGATAATTGGGTATTTGGAAAGAAAACAAGAATAGAATTTTCAACGTAAATAATTTTATTCAAACTATTCTATTGAACATCACTAACTCATGAACATTGTACATCTGCAAATATGGATAGTTTTGTTGGATATTAGTCAAAACCAATAAAAGTAAGAAGTTAATTACAGTAAAATTAATCAATTTACACATTCACATCAATAAAATTATCTTAAGTGACAAAATAAATACTCATAATATATTCTCTACTATGTAATAAAGATAAATTATTATTAATTAATACATTAGTTACCTTAAAATTAAAATAAAATATATTTACAAGTTATTTTAGGAATTAGAACAAACAATTGTTGTTAGTTGATTATTAAAATTTTTAATATATGTCATAATTCCTTGGCAGTAAAATTTAACAAAACAGAATTTGTTGTCATTCGATATTCATAATTAAAAACTATTTAAGTACCGTTTTATAAGAATTTGAGACTGCGTATATAAATTAAAATGAAGTACATGTCATAATTAAATCATAAATTTATTTTAAATACATTATTGCAGCTTAGTATCATTTGCTCGCGTCAATGCCCATATTTGCAGATGACTATTTAATATTCCGTAAGAAAATAAAATTCTCAATAAATAAATGACGAATACTACTTAAAAAGGTGAGATGTTACACACCGTTTTTAACACAATCTCTTACTATAAAAATGATCAACAAACAACTTTGCACCTCGCCTAAGGGGTCAAGGGGTCATAATAGTGCAGAAATATAATATGTCATGAGATTCAATAGTTACGATACAGATTGCCGCTTTGAGCAAATAATCCTGATGTCTTAGCCTAGCCATGCGTGAGGTGGGATCGACTACTCAGCGTAACAGTACACTATTTAGTAAGATACAACATAGCGATGCAACAATTATTGGTGCACGTGACATTTTTCATGTGGGCAACTCTGTTCATGATTACTATAAATAATTCACTTTTAACATGATGAAAATTCAATGTATCTAGCAACCTGAGTAAAATAACATTTAGTATACGTTTTATAATTAATAATTAATATACAATTTACATTGTTAATTGAAGCACATTTATATAAGACTTTGTCAAATAAAATAAATTATACAATAATCTAAAACTCGATACAAACATTGAATTCGAATAATAGCCATAGTCAATAAAATATATATTACGCTCGATCNGAAAATTCAATGTATCTAGCAACCTGAGTAAAATAACATTTAGTATACGTTTTATAATTAATAATTAATATACAATTTACATTGTTAATTGAAGCACATTTATATAAGACTTTGTCAAATAAAATAAATTATACAATAATCTAAAACTCGATACAAACATTGAATTCGAATAATAGCCATAGTCAATAAAATATATATTACGCTCGATCAAATAAAGCACGATCGTTTCCTAAAACTGCTAGTCGATAACGAATGATTGGTCAACAATTTTATGCACAAGTGATAATTTACACGTTTATCGGAAACAATTAATTAGAAAAAGTCGGGAAGTTTCTACGAAGCCGTGAGATCGGGAAATGTGTTGAAAATCTACAAAAACACCTTTGAATCATACGACCGGGATGTAGAACGGGCATCTTAGCTCACGTACCATCCCAGGCGAACGACAGTTCGCGATGCGACACAAAGCGCCTATACCTACTATGAGAGACGCGATGTCACTGCATTTTTGTTTTGTATAATGCGTGGTTTCTAGAAAAAAAAAAATGATTCGACCGCACCTTATACAGTATAAAAAATTGTAAACGTTGACACACATAATATATTTAAATTATAATGTGTTTTATACATTATTGGAATTACTTGTGGTTTAATTTAGTCTTTATTATATGACTAATAGTTAGTTGTCTATCAGAACACTGTAAATGAAGTTATCGAAATAACGGAAATAAACGCGAAATTAAGCAGTAGTGTTTTTAATCTTTGTACTAAAATATCTATATGAACTAAATAATAATCATCTTACTCATGACTTAGCGTACCTTTACAAGCCTGTTTGTTATAAGAAAACTGTTAAAATTGAATCAGACCGTACGAATAAGACTTAGTCAATTCTATTATTTATACTTATAAAGCTTCGGTAACTCGTCATTAATAAGACCATAAACGTTTGCAATTTTGGTTTGAACGTTTCAACAGGCTGTTATTGTATTACATTTATCTCAGCTTTTTCATACTGTATCAATTTAGATCAATTATTCAAAACCACTTTGTGAACGTATCTCGGTCCATAAAATATAAACGGCTCTGTGTCGCGTCGCATAGCATCGTATTGACGCATTTGTCTCTCACGTGAACCTAGAGATTGTACACATTAGGCGTTTGTATCATTAGTATTTGACATACTTGCACTAAGAGTATTGGCTCAATCTGGAAGTTGACTGATTTCTTTCGAGAGGCTTCTCTGCTGTTACTATTAAAGACGATAGAAACAGAGACAAGAGAATTTTGGTGCTTCAATCGATATTACAAAAAAAATCCTTACTAAGGAGGAATCGCCTGACATTAAACAGCTTGTAGCGTTTTTTTTTTTTTTCAATAAACAATAAATCAGATCACTGCATTTTCAAAGTTCGGAAAAGCACTTCGCGTGTGTAAATTAAAGCCGACTCATAAAACTCTTATTCCGAGACGCCTAATGTGTACGAGCTGTAGCTAAAAGCAATAAAACGCGCTTACCGAGGTGCGTGCGTCTACGCGCGTACTATTACGTAATTCGGACCTTTCGGTTCTTAATATGCGCGTTTCCATGGCGCTTGTTTCTAACGACTAATGTGAACTAGCTGTTGTCATTAATTATAAAACGCGGCCGACGACTGCGACTCGCAGAGCGCCGGCAACACCACTAGGGACGCACAAACAACAAGGGAGTCGCACATTGCGTGCTAACAATGGCGAGTGATACTCGAGGCACTATGATAAGTAGTAAAGTGTACCGGGCGGTCGGTCGGGGCTCACGGGGGCTCACAGGGGCTCGCGGCGCGGCACCCACACGGACGGGCCGCTCTCCGCCGCGATCACCGCCTTCACCTTCGAGTATATCTCTTCCGGCGTGTCGCCCGTCACCACGGCTGTGAATCACACGCACCGGAATAACATATCAAATAACTTATCAGAGCTTAAATCTTTTTACTATATAGCTTGAAACTGTTGTTAATACCGGGACTCAGAAATTATACTGCATAAAACTTCAGCGGTAGGCAGCGGCTTGGCTCTGCCCCTGGCATTGCTGAAGTCCATGGGCGGCGGTAACCACTCACTATCAGACGGGCCATGCGCTCGTCTGCCTACAAGAGCACAAAAAAAAAAAAGAAACTAACCAGTAAAATATTCAGCGAATTCTTGCTCCATTTTAAGGGCACGTTCATAAGTTTTCTTCGCTTGTTCTTCTGTCATTCTCTTGTTCATTTCCCTGCGAATTTTGTAACGTGATATCATCATACAAAATACAAAAAGATCATTTCATCTACATCCAGTTTTGTATGTTTTTCTGTAGGTGCCCAAAAAAATATACTTACATTATAGACTCTACACTCTTTGGTTTGATAAATATGGCAATAGGGAATAGTTGTGCTACTTGCAATCTCTTGATTGCGTTACCGCTGACGTCCAAAATGCAATGCTTGCCCTGCAAAAAAAAAACCCATTATTTTACGTATGAGATAAATTCAAGAAAATTAACTTTTAACAATGATTTCAATGACAACGTGCATGAAGCGAACACGCCAGGTTGGATAAGTTTCTGAGTTTCTGAGATAATGGTTTTTTCGGTATCGAATCTGAACTAAGCGCTCCAGTGTCTAGTTTACTCGCGTCAAACTCTTATCGGGACAAAACCAAAATGATGCAATAAACACGAGAAAATACGGTGTCTTTCGTAAGTTCTTCGAATTATGTATATTATTTGGGTTTATCTATTGAGATGTAGGGTTCGAAGCGATTATTCAATGTGGACAGCAGATATCACTTGCATTTTATAACCAGTAATCTCATAAGTTCAAGCTTTTAGAACATACTAGTTGTTCCCCCGGAAATTCGACTAAATTATTTGAAATTATAAGTTTGTACACTATAATGATTATATTGTCACTTCTGTAATCACAGATTTCGCCAAGACTACACTTTAGACAATTATTTATATTAATAAAGACAAACAATATTTAATCTATTCTCAATTTGACCACAGACTATGCTAATAGTATGCACGCGTGTGTGTGTGTGTGTGTGTGTGTGTCAAATACATGGTAGTGTGTGTAATGTTTTTTTATTGATGTAATTTATGTTTTATGCATAATTTAAAGAAATATTTACATTCTGCATTCTCCATGTCTATATTTTCTTTATGTGTGGGAAGTTTCATACTCATCCGTCCGCGTAATTTTCGTAAAAAAGGGGTACAAAGTTTTTGGTTCACGTATAAATACATAGATAGATATACCTTCTCGGCGACTTCTCGCACGGATGCCACGGACGTTCCGTACAGATTGTCGTTGTACTGGCCGGCCTCGATGAACAGGTGATTCTGGATGTCGCGCTCCATCTGCTCGCGGCTGGCCACGAAGTGGTAGTCCCGCCCGTCCACCTCGTAGTCGCGTCTTGGCCGTGTCGTATCTATCAACACATTTTTTTTTCCTACCTAAGCTGATAGCCTTGAGAGGCTATTTCAGCGTAACCTTAACTAGTAGGTGAACTCGCGGGACTCAAACCTGACGACGTTGCTAACACGAACCCTAGCCGTGCATCGCAGAATCTACCAGCAGATCGGAAACGCAACCCACTGAGAAGATCCGGCGAGAAACTCAGTGGGCTGTCTGTGGGTTAATTTACTCGTCGAGCCCTTCGTCGCAAGCGACGTGTTCGACGAGACCGATGACCGGTACTTGAGGTAACTAAAAGCACCGTTAGTGGATTGGCCGTACATATTATTACAAATTCAATAAAAATCGTAAAATTGTCATGTTCAAATTTTTGAGTCCGCACGGGTAGGTACCACCACCCTGCCTGTTTCTGCCGTGAAGCGGTAACGCGTTTCGGTTTGAAGGGTGGGGCAGCCGTTGTAACTATACTGAGACCTTAGAACTCTTATCTCAAGCTGGGTGGCGGCATTTACGTTGTAGACATCTATTGGCCCTGGTAACCACTTAATACCAGGTGGGCCGTGAGCTCGTCCACCCATCTAAGCAATAAATAAAAAAATGTTCCATACAGCATTGCTTTATTATTGATAATCGTTAAGAAAAATTTCTTCTTCTTCACAATCTTTGTATAATGTCTATAGTACACCGCAACATACCTGCTATATTTTTATATTTTCCAAAATTTCTGTAAATTAAACGGTTGTCTGGAAGAGATCGCTTTTAGCGATAAGACCGCCTATTGTACAAATGTATCTGCTTTTTGACTGTTTTTTGAATGTGAATTGTGTTGGGTGTGCAATAAAGTATATTCTCTCTCTTTATATTACTCACGCGGCACGCAGCTTCCAAACTTGTCAGGGAACTCGGAAATGAGGTCGTCGTTTATTCTATCTTTCAATGGGCCCAATATTATCACGGGCCGAGTGTACGCGATCGTCAACTGCTGAACTGTTTCATAAGACAACACCGTCTCGTCTTGACCTGTAAACATTCACGCGCAGTACACATCAGTTTTAATCACATTTAACGTGTAATCATTACGTGGTATCACTACAGTAGTCATTACGTGGCATCACTAAACTGTTCCCTTGAAACCAACCAGGAATTATTTGTAGATTTCAATTTCGTGCTACCCGTGTTGTATGTAGCAAATCCGTGCCATACCCGTGCCATACAAATTTATGTTTTTTTTTCTCAACATCAAAAAGCCATTTCAAATGATTATGGTTATACACAGAGATCAGCGTATCACAGCGATATTTGTTTGATATATATATAATATAAATGTGTATTTATAGTTATGAAAATTATTCTATGATATAATTGTATCTATTCAATGGAAACTACCTAAATTATTAAATATTTCGTTTTACTGGTATCTAGTCCACAAGCATTCTCTAGACTAACTCGAATGGTTTCACTACGAACTTATTTCGTACAATATGTATTGTATTGAGAGAGAAAAAAAAAAACACTTCACGAAAAACTTTTATTTGGCAAAGCAATAACTTTTGCTATTCATTTAGAAAATGATTTATAAGTACATGCTTTTTCGTAAAACCGTGAAAAGTAATTTAGAACATTGTCATATTGAAGCCAGAAATATAAAAGACATATTTATGTAACAATTTTCTACGATACTTTAAGTTCGACAATTAAATCCATTCATCATTAGAGTGGTCTGGCTAGAATACAAAAATCAATGTAATTCAATAAAAAAAAAATTAAACACATTAAAAAGCAATGTAGTATGTCATATATCACAGCTGAAGACGAACATAAAGTAACATAAGGCTTTGAAAAAATTTACAGCGTCCCCTATTACGTTTTGAAGCGACAAAAAACTAAATCTATAAATAAACCAGCAGAGCGTATTTGACAAACTGTAAACAAAGCTCGCATGAGAATGTCGCGTCTCGCGTACCGTGACTCGTAACTAGTGAGCGACATGCGTGCGTGGAGTGAGCATGCGCGTGACGCGCCAAGCTAAGGTCTGTGTGCTTAGTGCGAGTTCTTTAACGCCCTCGATAGCGTAACAGTTAATTTGAATTTGTATGGAGTTGGAACGTTTGCCTACGTTTGCCGCTAGGGGCGCTGTTCCGAACTGCATACAAATTTGAGTTAACTTTACGCTATCGAGAACGTTAAAAAACTCGCACTAAGCACACTGTTCAATCGGAACGCACAACCGAACGTATTGTGTCGTGTCGGACTATATTCATTATGCGAAAGCGTCTTGTAATCGATTCCGTCATCGCATATCGTCTTTTCGCATTAAAAGTGTACAATTTCCAAAAATATTCGAAATTGAGTTAATATGCGGAATCATTTGGTATCACCAGTATTTTTCTCATAAATACTATCAAAAGAGCGTAGTTTAGTTTTAGTTTTTTTTTTTAGTTTACTTATGTATTGACTGCTATTAACAAAATTAATAAATAATTTTATCTTACTTTAAAAGACAGATAACTTAACTGGTAAAAAATAAGAAATAAATGTTGCAAAGATGATTAATATTAAAAATATCACATGTTACACCTTTAAAACACTCTCCTGTAAAATTAGTTAGTTTTGAGATTATACAGTTTTAATGCGAGAAGACGATAACGTCAGCGATGAGTGACGTTTTCGCACAATCGGGCGTCAGATACCGCACAACGCTGCGTTGTGCGTTCCGACGGACAAAGCTAAGCACGACGCGTGTAGCGTGTCCCCGTGTGCTTCCAGTGGCCCGCGCGCTGCCCGCTCACTCAGACCGAGCCTGCGCCCCCCTAACACCATTCTAATGATCCAAACAATCTCGTGAGCACGATGGTCAGAGTTTCGAGTGCGGAGAGGCTATTAGATATAATCGCGTTTTATGAAATCAAAAAAAGGTAAAACAACTGAACGAAAGAAATGTCAAATAAACAAAATAAAATTGGAGTGTTATTTGAATGAAAACTACATTTCTAATTGATGATCATAACCAGAATGCGGGAGGTAAGGTATCGGCTACTGCACTCGCAAGCTACGCCTCACTCCCAAAACTTACTCTCGTCCTCGAGATATATGAGCGTTATCTCCTCCATCATGGGAAGTTCCACTCGATACAAGATTTCTCCTATACGTACAAAAATTAATGTTACATATACTTCAAACATGTACGTACACCGTTTTACGGAGGGGGGGGCGAACCGGAAGGAAAAAAAAAAACTACGGAGCCACAGACTCGCTCTAATTGTCCGAAATATCTCGATTCGAAAATATATTTATACAGAATCGTGAATAGCGCCCAATAAAATAAATAGCAACTCAAAATACGTTTGTCGAATGAGTGATTGAAGTCGTGTCCGTATCGGTATCGGGTTAGGCAACTAGAAGCACGGGACTGAGGCCGGACGAGTCTCAAACCAACCCGCGTGCTCGCTGCGACCCGTTCGTAATGCCGACATTAACTACGTGTTCAACATCCATTATATTCACTGAGCTCTTCCCAAGCAAACCGTGTTCACACGAATTTTCGGAATCTGACACGATTTTTTTAACACAACCAATTAAAAATGGCATCATTATAATGTTTTAACATAACCAATTAAAAATAGCATCATTACATATATTTTTTTAATTATTTCTTCGCTATAACTACAATATAAACATACCGAATTAAATGTTTATCAGTAGCTTGGGAATTCCGAAAACTTATTATTAACATCGGATACTTTCGAATGAATCAAAAGTACAAGACCGACCGCATGGGAAGAGCTCTTTGTAAAATACAAAAACTAACTAAAACACAGATAATTAATTAGCCGCCGGGCCGTTGTCAGAAAACAACGACAAGCGACAAAGTTACGGCGGGAAATGAAAAACATTGCCAAGATTTCTTTTTTTTTTTTTTGTTAGGCGACACCATGCTCTTCCACGAATACTACAAAGCAACAGTTTACTCACACTTATCCGGTACGGTTTAAGAATACCGAGTATTGTAAATAGTACCTACACGCTGAATCGTTTCGATAAACCAAAAATAATAATAATTTTATTTAACATTAGCCATAATAATATAATTGTGAGTTGTACGAAGAGTTAAATGTAAATTAATTGAAATAAAATAAGAAAATACATTTGACTAAAACAGTTCGTCTTTTAAGACTCAATCGTTGTTAGGTAAAGCATAGCTTTAATGTAAAGACAACCCAACTTCAGACAGATTGGTTGTTAGCGGCCGCACGAAATAAAAACTGCGTAATGACCTACATACATTTAATAGCAAAATGGCAAATATATATATGATCGAGGGCGGACATGGTGCACTTACCGTCAGCGTTAGCGTCCTCCTGCGTGTAACAAAGCATGAAAGCTGTAACAAATTGTATTATTAGTTTTTTTTTTAGCCCGTCGCATATTATAAAGTATAATACTTTCTCTTTCTCGCGCGAACGTTAGAAGAGGACGAACGGTACAGGTCGTATAATATGCGGCACGAGCTAAACAGCTTCGTTGATGAACGATCTATTAACTATTTTTAGTTGTTTAGATGTTTTTAACTTACATTAGGAAATTTAATTTCAATAATTTTTAATTCGCGTTCACATAAAATTTATAATTTTCCTNATTATAAAGTATAATACTTTCTCTTTCTCGCGCGAACGTTAGAAGAGGACGAACGGTACAGGTCGTATAATATGCGGCACGAGCTAAACAGCTTCGTTGATGAACGATCTATTAACTATTTTTAGTTGTTTAGATGTTTTTAACTTACATTAGGAAATTTAATTTCAATAATTTTTAATTCGCGTTCACATAAAATTTAAAATTTTCCTTGCCAAATTTTCACAGTGAGAGTATAAATTAGTGTACCCAAGCGATTATAAGTGGGAGCCGATGAGTCGAAATCCCATGTTAGTAGTGCAAAATTGTACATGGTTTTTATAGTATAAAGCTCTATAGTTTCTAAGCTTCAATTAATTAATTTGACCATCAAATTAACAAACTTGTTGCATGTATCATAGTTTCTCTTAAAATGCTGTGCTCTTGACTAAAAAATGTGTTTATATAAAAATAATTATGAAAACTTCATACCGTCAAAAATATGAATGTGTTGAAAATACTTTAAAAACGACTTACGTTCTTGATCGGAACCATCTTCAGATTTGCCGTCTTCTCGACTCTTCATGAATGGGAATTTTCTACTGAAAGATAAAGTTTTCTTTTTCCTTTCCAGAGTGGATTGGCTCTTGAAAAAGAAATCATTTGATGATTAGTATTTTTGGGAAATTACAAAGTTCGAATATCGTGCCAGCCAAGGTGTCTCTTAAGAAAATACATAAAATAGGTTTTATTAAACAAGTTGCACTATCAGGAAACACATGCTCTGTTGCTTTTAAATTTAATATAATTTTGAGGTAATCGTGACCTAAAAACGACACTACTTGTTGGTGTATTCATACCAAGTGGTTTGCTAAAATGGTATGTTTTCAGTATGTGATCCACCACTGGGCGTCGATTTAACCTTTGAAGGTACCAGTAGTGTAAGTTAATAAAACTATAACGCTCGTTCGAATTTAGGGGCTTACTCTCCCTTAAACAGAATCCTTTGGGACTACAATAATGTCCACGGTAGCGCGGCGGTCTCCGTCAACGTTCCTTCGGAGTTATCCAATTGCGCTGAACTAATTTTAAGTGAAATAGATGTTTTTTCTAATTGTCTCACAAAATCTGTCGCGGATCATGTCCCAATTAAATATAAATTGATCTTAAGCAATCAATCAAATGTAATCAAATCTTAGTTTTATAATTTTTTAATGCACTGTCGATTGCACCTATAATTGTGGTGACATCTGCCATGAACTTTTCTCAATTTGTCAATGTTTTGTATTGATGATCACTTTGTTGGTGCAACTTAATAAATAAATAAATAAAATATATAATACTGATTTACATTGACCCCAACCTAGTGAGTTGGATGAGGATAAAACAAAAAATACTCACCGTACTGACCGGTGTACCCTGTCCCTGGAATTTAACTTGTCGATCGCGTGCCCGCTGTTTTCTTTCCCATCGACGTTTCGAAGGAATTATACCGATAGCATCGGTGTCCACTTTATCCTGACCCAGCCTTCTGGAACATTGATTTATAAATTTGCAAAACAGTGACATTGACATCTGACTTTGTGTGATGCTGAAACAACTATCTCTAAAATGAAACTAAAATTTATAATCAAGTTGGTATGTGTTGCTGTGTAGCATTCACGCATTTCCAGACTAAATTAAAAAAAAAGGGTGGACGAACTCACGGCCCTCCTGGTATTAAGTGGCTATCGGAACCCATAGACATCTACAACACAAATGCCACCACCCGCCTTGAGACATGATTCCGAAGGTCTGAGTATTTTGACTTTATACATAGTTTGAAAGTTTAAAGTTTGGATTGTTGTCAATGTGACAGAGTTAATGACATAAGTAATATGTGCGATGATGCTTATTAGTCCATCGGTTAGGCTATATTATACAAGAAACCAGCGTACCTGGCTTGCCACCATTCGTCATCGGACGCATTTGTAACATGCAATATATCGCCATATCGAAACGGCAATCCTCTCGAAGGTAGACCATCGTCTCGAATGGGGTCGTAGTCAAATAATGCTCTGTAAACGATAACAAACATAATTAAAAAAGCGTGGACACAATGAAAGCACTAACACTATGAAACTTTATGAAAACCACGAAGACCACTTATCAACCTATATTACAGATGGATCTGTCATGATCCCTTGTGGATAAATGTGATATGTTTGAAATACATCCATTTATTGTAACAAATAGTGTACTATGCTAACAAATTCCCTGAAGTGGGTACAAAAATACAAAAGTTAGTTAGATACACGGCCTGCAGATCCATAGAACAGGAAAATGGAAAAGCTTCTCTTCAGAAAACATATCATATCTAAAATTAAAAGTAAATAAAATTATTGATCTAACTCATTCTTTATCTCAATAAAACTACCAGTTAAAAGTGTATTAAATAGGCACATATGATTGACTTTTCTACTGCACGTTTTCCCATTACTCTCCCGTAAACTCAGAAAGTTTTTACCTCAAAAGGCCCACAACCACAGAGTTTCTATGCTATTAACAATATAAGTATGATCACACACATTACACAATTTTATTACATGGTTTTCGTTATTTTTTTCATAACCTACCTTACATACAAGGATCGTTTTTGAGATGTCCGTAATAGCGTATGATGTTGTTTCAATTCATTGATTCGTGCTTCAAACTTATTGTATTCTTGTGGACGATACACAACAGTCAATTTAACAATTTGACCCGTGCTCTAGAAAAATAATTACATATCTCTTATTAATATTTTGCTCTGCATTCTAGTATCATACAAAACACATAGTTAAAAAAGTTATTAATTTACGGCGCTGTTGCATGATCACGGGTAAATTAAGTGTTGAGAACTCAAGAAATGTGAAATCATTCCGCCATGACCTATGCAAGTGTAATGTTCGTTCACGCGGCTCGTGCACACAATCTCCAGGTCATCTTAACGACAGCCAAAATCTAGAAATGATGTGTGAGTATCTTAAGGATGCATCAGAACGCTACTTTGATAAAGCGGCACGACACGATAACTTTTTTATCGTAGTCATCTAATTACTTATCATGTCTTGTCGGATACTCCGAATCCGCTCTCGGTGCTTTTAGGCTCTCCAAGCAACAGGCATCGTCGTCGGCTAACTAGCCCATAGACACAAGCCACTGAAAATCTCTCCGGACCTTCTCAGTGGACCGCGATTCCAATTCGGTGGTAGATTCAGCGAAGTACTACTCTTGATAGGGTCAATGTTAGCAATTCTTGCGGGTTGAGCCCGTGAAGATCACGTACCGGTCCACGCGTAATTGGAATAGTCTCTTAAGCTACAAACGATTGGGTAGGAAAAAATGCAATCATTCCAAGAACACGTTAAATAATAGTGTGTATAGTGAGATGGAGAAAGTTTAAAACAATTAATGTTTTAATTGAAAAAATTCGAAATGGGCCACAATAGCAGTATATTGAACTATTGATCATGCAAAAATATGCATACTAGTGCAGTTTTCCTAGACTTATCTATCTTGAGTACTAGTTGCATGATACCAGTCCTGTTTTTTTCTGGTGTATAGTAATCACGCGTTTTTTTTTTACAGCTTGGATGGGTGGACGAGCTCACGGACCACCTGGTGTTAAGTGGTTACTGAGGCCCATAGACATCTATAATGTAATGCAAATGCGCCACCCACCTTGAGATATCAGTTCTAAGGTCTCAGTATAGTTACAACAGCTACCCCGCTCTTCAAACCGAAACGCATTACTGCTTCACGGCAGAAATAGGCAGGGTGGTGGTACCTACCCCTGCGGACTCGCAAGAGGTCCTACCACCAGTACCTGATGTCTTGATGTGGGCAGCGACGTTTACCTTATGTCTATGAATAAGACATGGACGGAACAGTACCTTCAGGGCTTTGGCGGCCTGTTCGTGTGTGGCGTGCGATATGTCAAGATCGTTGACTGCGAGCAGACGGTCTCCTCTCCGTAGAGCGCCGGACCTCTCCGCAGGTCCGCCGGCCAACAGGAAAGAAACGTAGATGCCGTGCCCGTCTTCGCCACCGACGATGTTGAACCCCAGGCCCGAGGGACCTTTCTCCAGCTCCACCACGCGTACCTCCTCGCCGCCGTCCGTTGCGTCTTCGCGTCGGAGAGAATTTGCTGCGCTCGACGCTGTTTTTATTTTTATTATTAAATTCCTTGTTAAATGTGTACATTTTTTTTACAATGTCTAAAACTTAAAATGAGTCGACTATTATCAAAGCCGGCAATCTGACTTTTGGACAATGATTGGTAAATCAGAAAAACGAATTATTGACTTTGTATTCCATTGGCTGTCACAAAACTCTTCGGAACGAAATCTAAGATAAATAACAGGTTAACTATTAACCTTTATTTAGTGAAGGTTTTGAACCGTATTCTTTGAAGGATACGATTATATTCAAATCAATCTGTATTGACATATCAATAAAAATATTTTGTCCAAATTTTAATGCACAGATTGCCACCTTTGATAATAGACGACTCAAATAGTTTATTTATTAAAAAAAATTGTTACTGTGGTGCCAATCGTAACCAGTTAATTATAGCTGAATAAGTAAATCAATCGTGTCCGATGTTTGATAGATTTTTAATATTTATATCGTTAGATTATATAGGTACTAATAGTAATTTAATGATGTCTTACGTGTGTTAGCTCGAGAAGTGCGCGGCGAGGGTTGTCCGTGTCTCGGCCCTGGTACCAAAACTAGCAACACGCGTTCTCCTGTTGCCTTTAGAGCGGCCACGGCATCCTCGTGTGTCACGTTATCCAAATTGACATCTCCGTTCTGTTTATTTATTTCCAATATTATAATCGACAACAATAATTAGATGTGTTGTTTTTTATTTAACTGGTGGTAGGACCACTTGTGAGTCCGCGCGAGTAGGTACCACCACCCTACCTATTTCTACCGTGAAGCAGTAATGCGTTTCGGTTTGAAGGGTGGGGTAGCCGTTGTAACTATACTTGAGATCTTAGAACTTATATCTCAAGGTGGGTGGCGCATTTACGTTGTAGATGTCTACGGGCTCCAGTAACAACTTAACACCAGGTGGGCTTTGAGCTCGTCCCCCCATATAAGCAATAAAAAAAAAATGCAGTTTAATNAAAAAAAAAATTCAGTTTAATAAAACAGGCTGGATTACTTACAGAAGTGTTTTTGACCATAAGCAATTTATCACCAACTCTTAAACGTCCATCTTGATGCGCAGCGCCGCCGGCCATGATTTTGGTAACGTAAATGCCGTTGTCACCGGGTATGTGTTGGTTACCGAGTCCGCCTGCTATACTGAAGCCCAAGCCAGAGCCACCTTTTATAAGTTCTATTTCCACAGATTCCTCTTTGTTTGACACTTGTGACACGTTTAGGGTATCTTCTATAGCTCGACGTCGCACTTTCTGTAAATTGTAAGCAGTGTAAATACCCATGTATTCACGTAATTAATCATCAATAAAGAAACACATAAAAGCTACAATAAACAATAATTTTAATTTTCAAAAATATTTTTAAGTATATGAATGTTCATTTGAAGTATTCTGAAATGCAATACAGGTGCAAGAATTTAATGATATGAAATTCCTTGTGAATGATGACGTGTCATTAACGTTTTTATGATTTACTGGATTTTTTTTAAGTGGGAAACATTGCAGTTAGTCTGCAGCCCTTTTTAGGGCCTGTGCACACCGCGTATTTTAAACGCGCCGTCGACGCGCTTTCGTAGCGATACAGGCGCGATACGCACGCAAGTCAGGCGCAGCCTGTAGACCTTTGCACACCTGTATAAATTAAAATACGCGTTTGAATCGATACAGACGCGATGCTAACGCGTGTTTGTATCGATACAGACGACAACAAACCGCTCTGTAGGATAAAAGCGCGCCGTCGACGCGCGTTTCCAAAACGCGCGTCGACGGCGCGCTTAAAAAACGCGTGCACAGGCCCTTAGCTTCATCAGAACAGATGAAGATCGAAGGTTCAATCTGGAGGAAAACGTTTCCTGACACCTGCCTGACTGAATATATCAGAATACATAAGAATTCATACTACTTATAACATTCAAGGCATATTCTTAGGAAATTATTATGAATATTTCTGTACATTATTGTTCTGGTAGATGATATATTATTGCCATTTTAACTATGGGAACAGTTTGTATACAATGGTGGGACCAACCTGTCTGGCATTTTAATATACCCTATTACCACCATTGTATGTAAGAACAAGAATGTCCTTGGTCACAGAGGTCATTTCACAAGACCTGACCTGACCTTCATCAGTTGCCAGCAACAATTCTAGGAAGCTCATTTATGGAAACCGCTTTTCTTATCAATATGGTTCCGGCATAGCATTCATGTAGGTGATTTCTAAGAATAGGCATGATTCTAAGGTTAGTAATAATAATTACTTACCAATCTCACAGTACTACCAGCCTTTTTCAGTGCATCAACCGCTTCAGCATGTGTCACATTTTCTACATTCACATCATTCACCTATAAAAAGAACTTAAATTGGTCATTATTTTACTATTATACCTATGTCATAATAATTTGGCCAGCTTCTGCAGCAAAGCCGTTGTGTGTTCTTGTTTAAAAAGCAGTCATTAGTTTTTATTTCTACAAGGTAATGTATATATATGATAAAATTGTATAATGAATAGGATGGTAATTTAGGATTTATTTTATGTTGAAAGTAGCTGTCTTAGTAGATGATGGGTACTTTAGATTATTTTTATCTTAAAGAAATTACACTATATTTTAGAATATCCTAACAATTTGAGAACACATCAATGTTTCTTTGCTTTACACATTCCCAGAAGTTTTTTCTCACATTTGGAATAAATACTACTCCAGTAAAAGTGTGTAAAAATATATATGTAAAATAAACTTACCTGTAAAATAGCATNATATATGATAAAATTGTATAATGAATAGGATGGTAATTTAGGATTTATTTTATGTTGAAAGTAGCTGTCTTAGTAGATGATGGGTACTTTAGATTATTTTTATCTTAAAGAAATTACACTATATTTTAGAATATCCTAACAATTTGAGAACACATCAATGTTTCTTTGCTTTACACATTCCCAGAAGTTTTTTCTCACATTTGGAATAAATACTACTCCAGTAAAAGTGTGTAAAAATATATATGTAAAATAAACTTACCTGTAAAATAGCATCATTAATCAGTAACTGACTGGCTGCAGCAGCACCACCAGGTATGAGCTTTGTGACATAGATATGAGGGTCATCTGCCACATGGGGATTGTCAGACCCTCCTGCAATGCTGAAGCCCAAGCCAGCACCACCAGCTCGAGACAGTGCCACCGAGAGGTAAATGTAGCCATCCTCACCCTGTGTTCTTTCATTTGCTCCACCTTCTATGCCATTAACCTGTAACTTTATTTCATTCTTTACAATTGGTTAGTATTATATTAAATTGTTTCAAATGACTTATAAGTAAAACTATACAAGATTCAACAAATATTTTATTGTATGCACATTGGTGTACATCATCAACATACAATCTTTTGGTGTACATCATCAACATACAATCTTCTGGCTTTATATTTTTTCAAGGGATATTCACGGCATATTAAATACAGCAGAGACTCTTTCTTGTGACATACTATGATAAAATCGCAATATCAGTCATATATTCAATTTGATTTGTTAACTTATTAAGATTGAGAACTTCTATAACAAACTTAGTTAGCAAAATTATACATCTCTATGTAACTTTCTCTGTCTTTGAGCATTCTTATCATTTTATACGGTGCTGATAAAATATTGAAGTGTGCCAGAACTTTTAAGGAAGCCAGGCAAATAGCTGCTTAATTTTTATTTTAGCAAATATTCACTATGCAAAAAAAATTTGACTATGCAGGCAAGAAGTTAACTTCAGCTCCATCTTCATTATACAATTTTTTTTTTATTGCCCTTGTAGGCAGGCACACGGCCCACCTGATGTTGAGTGGTTATCGTCGCCCGTGGACTTCAGCAATGCCAGGGGCAGAGCCAAGCCGCTGCTTACTGAAGTGTTATCTGCATTGTTACTGCAAGGATTATCAATCCACCAGTATCTGATAATTTGCATAAATATTCTTCAAATATCAGAAACTATTTAAAAAAATAAAGGAAACCCAAACCCATAGTCATCCTTATAAAATTTTATAACATAGTATGTATTACACAATCATGTTTATCAGTGACAAGCACTTTACATGTGTAAAGTAATGTTTCAATTAGGTTAAGTTTTTAAATCTTATCTACATAATATAGTGAATTTTTAATATTATGGCCTAATATTCACGCTCATTGAGAATATTATTTTAATAAGTTAATTGTCTTTTTTGACATTACATTGTACCGAAAATATACTTTTTGAAAATTAATAAAGATTATTACCTGCTTCATTTCAGATGATGCGACGTGAGCCTGTAAGCAATATTGCAAGGTTTTTATTTTTAAACCTAAACAGTATAATTTTTTAACAAACCCAATAGTAACTAAAAAATAATAATCAAACATTACTTGCTTTGGAAAGTAAAAGTGTTTAGACAAAAAAACAGTTTTAGTTACATTTCGATAACATTTGTTAGTTCCTTAATTTTGATATTGTGAATGATAATTGATGCCTGATACTATAAAACTATAAACCATAAATTATTAAACCTATTAACACAAGAAAATATATTTTAAAGTGGGACTTGTCAACTAACTAATTTATTATTTTAAAACTATAAATATTTAGTTACTAAATATTCTAGCACTTTTCTTTGAATAATATACTAAATTATGATTTTGTATATTTCATTAAATGATTACATAATGAAAGCAATCAATTATTTTATTACATGTTTGAATGAAATTTTATTATTTGTTCAACAATCAAAGATAGCCTCATGAAGCTAATTTAAAATTTTATTGACTCACATAGTTTGTATTGGATTTTATTGAAGGCCAACATGTTACCTACTCACCGTATCAAGATTAAATAGTGAAGAGACTTTCCGAAGAAATCCATTATGAGACTTTTTCTTCCTTCTCTCTGTCATTTTTTATAGATATTTCGCATATCCCTCAGGTCAATTATAAACAGGTGTCCATACTACGCTATGTACACTGCATGCATTGTTAGTTACACTCGTGTCCACTTTCAGCACTTTACTTGATGATGTTCAGCATGCACCATTGTCTACCTAGAACCCACAACTAACTTGCACCAAAACATTTCAAAGGTATGTAGCCTTTTCAAACAACAAGTAAGAATGTGACCTCTTTTTATGTAGACAGGTAATCCCATAACATTTAAGCTCATTATCATGTTAGCTGGGTTTTAAATTGCAGCGGACCTTATCTAATGAATGTAACAAATCGAACCGAGCCCTTTTGATAGCGAGTTAAGTAGGTAGGTAATGTATGGTTTGGTAAATAAGCGTGTTACCAACTCGTCTTCGTTGATGGTATAGTATTGTATGAATGTCAAAGCGATGAACCTTAATTAGAATGTCGGTGTTACGTTATTAGTGTGCAATTAAGAAAACATAAATTTCATAATATCATGGATGTTGCAGTATGTAACATTGAACCAAAACTCTAAATTGTTATAAGCATATCTGACTTTAAAATCGTGATTTCACCAAGATTTGAAATCGTTCCCAGAGTATAAAGAAATTACTAAACGTTTATAAATAGATTAGTGTTTATTAAATGGCCTTACTTGTGACGAAAACGAAATAGCAGCAGTTTGAATGTCAAAATTTTGTATGCAATATCATTTCACTGATTATCAATAACGAGCAGTATACTTTCAGTAATATTCGTACGTCATTGGCACTATTGTGAAATTTAACAGCACCAATCCACAGAATGAAGAAACGTTAGCGCACATATCGCCGAAAACTTGTACTATATTTTAGGTTATAAATAGTACTACGGGACGCGAAACACCAACTTTCCGCCATTACCAACCACTTGTTGTGTATACGTCGTTTCGTTCAATCACTTTCGTCACGTCATCAATATGAAAAAGATATTTGTAAAACTTTAACGTTTACTCCAGAGATGGCACTACTAGTTGTGATTCATTATTGATTTTAGGAGGTGAAGGTCTTCAAGTTCATTTAAAAAATACAAACTTANCTACGGGACGCGAAACACCAACTTTCCGCCATTACCAACCACTTGTTGTGTATACGTCGTTTCGTTCAATCACTTTCGTCACGTCATCAATATGAAAAAGATATTTGTAAAACTTTAACGTTTACTCCAGAGATGGCACTACTAGTTGTGATTCATTATTGATTTTAGGAGGTGAAGGTCTTCAAGTTCATTTAAAAAATACAAACTTATATTGTGTACATAATTATTAGGTTAATTTTTTTTGGAACCGATATGATTTGACACCGAAATGAGAACTCAAAGAAACGAAAATGAGACTTGCAAAGTAACACCAAAAAGAGACACGCACCACCACAAACCGCAAAGAAATATCCGTCGATAGGATATAGCCTGAGCGAGAATATTTTTAAACCGTTGCATATCAGATTTGATATTTAGATATTCCATTTTAAATTTTGATTTGCCCATTGTCTACTACCCTTTTATGTAGATACTTTCGATAACAATTGACTAAAATATGGTTTGACTTTTGAACGGCTACTATTTTTTTTTTTTGAGTTTATGGCCTGATATCTAGACCTTAAATGGTTACTAATTTTTCTATGGAGTTGCCTGTCCAATACAATGGTAACTATGGAAGACTTTTACGAACCTGTCATAAAATGAAACCCATATTGATTGATTGATAAATTTTAACATGTTATAATTATTCAAAGTGTAATTACAGAATAATATTTTTAATAATGATCTGGTTAAGAGCTAATAGAAACTAGAATAGTTTTTGCTGTATAAAATGCTTTCATTATGTAAACAAATATAGGAATATTTTATTTTAGTGTTAGAATATTTTTTGTAATTTATTTTAATTTGGCGAAACTAAAATAAAATAAGATATGGGTACTCTACTCTTTTTCTGTATCGGATTATCTTGCGTATCTGCCTCCTCCGTAGGTGCGGCAAAGGTGCGTAGCCGCGACTACGTTTTGTCGTTGAGAGGGCACCGTGTGCTTAGTGCGAGTTTTTTCACGTTCTCGATAGCGTAAAAGTTACCTGAAACTTGTATGCAGCTAGAACAGTGCCCCTAGCGGCAAACGTAGGCAAACGTTCCAACTCCATACCAATTTGACTTAATTTTTACGCTATCGAGAACGTTAAAAAACTCGCACTAAGCACACTGGAATGTGTTTTCTACTCACTTCTGAGGCTTTATCACAGTACCAGCACCGTCAACAGCAGTTTCATTCAGGATGCAGTAGGCGAATCAATGTGTACTCTATTTTACTCTATAACGATATGTTTGGAGACTAATTCATAACAAAATTTTAGAAAAACAAATAGAACTCATTAATAAACTCACTTTCTTTTCTTCAACTTCATCACTTGGTGATACGACAGAACGCACCTGTAAATATAGAAATAATATGCATTGTAAGTTTTTTGTATACTTTACACTGTAAAGTAGCTAAACGGGGTCAGTAGTTACCTTGATAATTATTTTTACAAATTTTCAAAAGGCATTTGCCTAATTATTCTAGGTAGCTTGACTGAAACTAAGAGTATATCGTTATACGACAAACAAAAGTCTTCCATCGTGTTGGTGTCTTTGCTCCGCAGACGGCAGATCTAATGTTAAAGTTCGAAACTTGTAATATATTAAATTAAATTGAAATGTCTTTGGTACCTGTACGTTCAGATATTTATACTACATATTTACTTCTCTACTACGATAGCTATCGCTATGACCTCAAAAATACAAGAATAAAATAAGCAAATAGTCTAACATAACATTGTTTTGTTATTTAAATTTCTGTAATGACGTTGTCCAGTATCTAATATCTTGATAAAAGTCACACCAGTTTTCTTTGGCTACATGACTGAGATATCGATTGAATTTATGTAGGTACCTACTACTATGCCCGTGCATACTCATTGTAGTCTATAGTTAAAGTGTCGATAAATTAAATGCCAATGCAGAGCACGGAGAACTGTAATCTCAACACGCGGGTCAATCCGGAGGGATTTAATATAGGTGCCGGTGACATCAATTAGAGAAAACGAGCTTAGACAGTCCGTCGACTAGGGCATACTTTGGTTTTTCCAAAGACAGCCATTTCCATAAAGCGAAACCATGAAATGAGATGTGCATCTTGCTACACTTCTATATTGCCGGCAGGGATAGTAGAGATGAACTCCTTCATCATCCCACCGCCTTCAGCGTGTGAGCTAAGAATCGAAATAATCCTCACAACGCGTCAAAAAATAAACGAGTATCATGGAAAAGACGTAGCTCTTTGATCATTCTAAGCCGACATTGATTTCACGTTATACCTACCTACAGAAGACGGGATTATATTCAGAAGGCAAATACACTTTTGTTAGTTATAAAAATACACACACCTAAACTACACTCTTATATTGATTATATTAAACACATACCTTTTTTTAGATAACATAATCCATATAGACACTGTTATGATACTCACCTTACCCGAGTCTGGTGTCTCATTACGTGATTCAGACTTCTTATTGTTGTCGTGTAGAAATGCATTTGATACCGATCTATATTCAATTTCATCCGTTGATATCTGTTTAAAGAAACTTATGATATGAATGATATAACAAGATATTTATTTTTTATTATAGATAATATGTTTTTATTTTTTGCACAAATGGCTAAATTGAATTTAGGTGGCGCATAGTGAACTAATCTGAATAACAGAACTGTTACAAAAAATGTTTTGAAATGCTGAGTAATTTTGACTAATATAATATGCGTAACATATATATACGTAAATATTAAATCAATTACAAACACGTCTAATACCATGGACCTAACAGAGCAAACAGAGTAACCAAATTGGATAGTTATATCTCCTTTACAGCACTTTAAAGGCGGGTGTATTTTAACTGTTGATTATAGATGTTTACATTTTTAAACTTCTACATATTTAAGGGACAGTCCCGAAATTATGTAATATGTGCATCTTTCGGGCATCTTGTTAGCGGAAGATATGATTAGAGCTTGTAACAGTCGGAAAAAACGGAGAACATAATATTAATAGGCGTCAAGCCTAAATTTATGACTTATATCCCTCTGTCATGATGTACAGAATACCTTTAAAGTATACCTACCTAAATTTTATTGTTATTTTTCTACGATTGTAATATTGCTACCGAAAGTTAAATATTGTTGAATTTCAACAGTAACAATTTAGTTTGCTGATGGAACAGGATATGAATTTCAATAAAAACAAATAATCACTAATCAACTAGCTCAACCTCTTTACTAATCGATTAAAGTCGTTCTTGTAAAGTGGAAATACGTAAACAAATCAAACCGGTGTTAAATTATAAGTATCATTTCCGTAGGACGCTGCCGTTACAAGGGTAACCTTACCTTACGGAGATGTACTCGTAAATGTAAGGCGGTTTCCGTTTGAATATAGAGTGGAAATATAAAGCTCAATGTAAAAATTAAATGTGGTACAATGTTTATTTGTTATGTATACGAGTAGTAACGAACCTAGATTGATTTTCAAAAAAATTAAATTAATCAAGTTAAATACATTTTTTTTCTAAAATCAGTTACTTAGGTCTTGTCCTTCTTCAAACGAGGTTTGAAGAGAATCCTCAGCGGACAGCGGTCGGTTATGCCCCTGGCATTGCTGATGTCCATGGGCGACGGTGATTACTTAGCATTAGCAGGACCGTATGCTCGTTTACCTAAAATGGCAATGAAAAGGTCAACTGCGTTCTTAGTGAATTTTTTGCTTATTCTAATAATCTTCCTAATACGGTTTTTTTTTCATTACAGTCTATGAACAAACGAAGGTCACGGCCTAATCGGTGATAACAGGTTCCTGGGCCTAAGGGCATAGACAACATGAATACGGTCATCCACCTTGAGACATAAGGTCATCATTTCAATTGTATTTCATAACCTACCCACCCGTATGAGCTCACAATGCGATACAGCGGTTAAGCAAATTTTCTGAGCATATTTGTTTAGTAAAAGTATACCATGAAAATAATTATTCGAAAACATTTTTGTAAATTTCAAGACGAATGCTGCCACTACCTCTCGTCTGTTGCTGTCCAATTCCCACTTGTTAGCGATACGGATTGTTTCTGCAGTTTTCTGTTGTACCGACTTCGTATCATCGAGGAGAGTGAGCTCATAGAACTCTTGGATATCTGTGAAGAAAGCACCAACACACTAATGAATTTAAAATTGATTTGTCTGAAATGACATTCGACGTTTTTTAAGTTGCTGGTGGTAGGACCTCTTGAGAGTCCGCGCGGCTAGGTACCACCACCCTGCCTATTTCTGCCGTGAAGCAGTAATGCATTTCGGTTTGAAGGGTGGGGCAGCCGCTGTAACTATACTTGAGACCTTAGAACTTATATCTCAAGGTGGATGGCGCATTTACGTTGCAGATATCTATGGGATCTAGTAACCACTTAACACCAGGTGGGCTGTGAGCTCGCTAACCCAACTAAGCAAAAAAAAAAAGTTGCTAGCGAAGGCAGACAAGAAGTAGGTCTACCTGTTCCTAAGTACCTAATCATCGTCGCTGAATATTTTATATAGAATGTACTTTTTATAATATCGATTTTATGTTAAACTGATGAGGAATCTATCAATTTGAATATTCATAAGCGATAGTGACCACTCAATACAAGTGGAACGTACATACATACATAGTCTCTGTTCCAAAGCAATAACAAAAAGAATGCCTTAACTAGATTTTGTGGCTTGAAATCTTCATTTTATTTTTTTATTTCGTTTTATCAGCATGATTAGTAAGTACCGAGAAAGAGGGATATTTAATTAAATTTATGTTTATTTCAAATTATGTCAGTAAGACCTATTTTTAAGTTGCATGTGTTTTTACTTGATGTTAATATTGCAATTTTGAAAAATTTATAATCGCTTGATAATCGAGATTAAACTCTACAAGTGCACATAAGCATGTAGATATACGAATTGCAATAGCCCGGGAAAAACATACATATTTTAACAAGAATACTAAAGTTAATATTATAGGATAGGTGTTTATGTGACAGCCCACCTTCAGTTAGTGCTTTCGTCAGTATTAGTAGTTAACTTCCCCCTAATCCTTCCGATTTGTTCCTATCTATTTTGTTAAACGTGTAGGGCGTGTTGTGATATCACACAAGCCAGTAGCACAAACACACATGTGCTTAAAAGTGGGTGTGAGTGAGGTACAATTATTTACCTCGTGGTCTCAAAGGGTTCCGGTACGCGTGATACTAGAGGAGCTGTGTAATAAACATTTTTTTTTATTGCCCTTGTAGGCAGATGAGCATACGGACCACCTGATAGTGAGTGGTTACCGTCGCCCATGGACTTCAGCAATGCCAGGGGCAGAGCCAAGCCGCTGCCTACCAACATAACTAAATGTACCCCTAAAAACGTTATAACTTCGCGGTTGTTACAAAATAAAATACGAATATAATAATATGAAGACCGCGAATTGGTTGAATAGAGTTGATTAATAAGAAATAGGTTGTGGTAACTGTAGTGCGAGTCGTTCTAGCTGGATCGATATCGAGCGACCGGACGCGCGGCCGGCGACCCCATAGCTTTGTAAAAATACTACACTATATTATTAATGCCAGACGAATTTTCCATATAGGTACCATTATTTGATACTGAAAACGAAATATAAACATTAATAGCACACGTAGTATATGGACTTTGATCCTAAATATTAGCGGGAGGTCTTGAAGTTTCATCGAAACTTTGGTCGGTAATAGCATTTAAATTAAATAAACAAAGATGGATCTGTGGATTTGAATGTTGGCGACGAAAGTAAAGCATGAAAGAGGAGTACATGCGGCAGAGATGCGAATGTTGTGATGGATGTGTGGAGTGACAAGAATGGACAAGATAAGGAATGTTTATATCAGAGGAAGTGTGAAAGTAGCCCCGGTAATTAACAAATTACAGAGCGGACGGTTAGCGTGGTATGGACATGTGATGCGTAGAGAGAAGGTGCATGTGACTAGGAGATGTATGGAAATGGTAGTGCAAGGTAGAGGAGGAAGAGTTCGACAGAAGAAGACATAGGTAGAGTGAATGACGATTTGAGAGAGAGAGGAGTGAGTGTTGAGATGACGGCTGATACAAGAGAATGGAATACAAAAATCCACTGTGCCGACCCTACCTAGTGGGATAAGGTGGAGAAAAAAACAGATAAAGCGCTCATTCCAGGAGGGTCAGGTCGTTTAAAAATTATTACAAAATTTGACACGAGAATATCGATAGTGGAACCTTTATAAATAACAGATACGGATTTTATAAAATTAGGGAACCTTGGCAATAGGACCACATCTGTCTCTCTGCCTATTAGTCATTTTCGGAATCTATTAGTATTATACAGGGTCCCACAAAGGCTATGTTAAGCCAAAACCTGTAGAAAAAAAAAATGGGGTAAAGATTTTTGAACATAGCGAATAAAATATTCTTCTACCAACCCCTGAATCAGGTTTTAAAATACAGAAGGTACCGTAATATGATTCGTAGTAAAAAATAGGGCTAGCCACATACCAAAAGATTGGAATTTGTTTTTTTTATTTGGCTCTTACGGAGGACGTACCTACTGATGGCGCACCCAGAGTAAGGTTACCAGAGACCAATCCAGAGATATCAACAACGTAAATGCCGCCCCCAACATTGGGACATGAGCTGTTCCAAGTCTCAGTTTTATAGTAGGTACACCTGTCCCACCCTTCAGACAGAAAAGCATTATTGTTTCACAGCAGAGATAGGCAGATTGGTGGTAATTATCCGTACGGGTTCACAAGACTCCTTACCACCAGTAAAAATAATTATAGATTTATGATTGTATTGTAGACTAGCTGTGCCCACCACTTCGTTCGCGTGGAATTTAACAAAACATTACTTTATTTGAAAATAATTTTAGATGTTTTTCTAAGATGTAAGTAGCTTATGTTACTATTTATTACATCACCTATCTGCCAGTGAAAGTACCGTCAAAATCGGTTCAGCCGTTCCAGAGATTATCCGGAACAAACAGACAGACAGACAGACAGACAACAATTGTAAAAAATGTTATTTTGGTATATGTAACGTATATAAATTCATATGCATGTAGTAAAAAGCGGTTATTTTAATATTACAAATAGACACTTCAGTTTTATTTATTTATATAGATTTGTTGGTTCATTTCATTTCGAAGTGTGAAGATTAAATTATGTGATAGTTATATCTCTATCAGGACCTGGGCTACATCAAAGGGATACAACGGCTATATACCTTTTAGCTAATATACATAATACAAAGGCTCGTCAGTTGCGGTTCAGTGAATATTTGCTTTCTTTGTAAATTGCATTAACCAGCGTTGTGTTAAAAGCCTGAATATTAACTAATGAGTATAAGCGGTTAAACGTCCGTTTGCTGAAAAACCGCAATTATTTCCTACTACTCAATGTAAACATCTTAGCGGTGATCAATATTTTCATCGATTTAAAAAAAATAGGGGGCTATGGAGCCAGCTATTTATTTTAGTACCTTTTTCTAGGTGAAGCGATTCGGGTGAATCTTTATCATTTGAAAGCTGGTGCTTCTCATGTGTTCCCATTTATTAATACACTTTTATTAGCTTCATACGTATGTTATTTTAGTATGTATGTTAGTATGTAACGAAATCTTTGAACATGATTTTGACTCCCTTCAAAACGTCGGATTAACTCGAAATTTGGCATACTTATTAAGGACCGATGACAATTCAATATTTTAAGCAGTTTGATCTGTTATCTTTACTACGATAATCAGGATTAGCGATTTTTTGTTTTCCTGAGACCCGGAGTGTCTGCGTCAAGACCAAGAAGGGAAACTACCAGGCGCGCCGATCACCTACCTATTCGTCGGATAAGTTACCGATTGATTCAGACGAAATTTTTGAAAAATTGGAATAAAAAAATTTTAAAAATTGAAATTCAACAAAGACATGAAAAATAAATAAATAATAGTTTAAAAAAACAAAAAAATACGCTTTTATAGATTTTAACAAACTTTTTCAATGTTGAGCAATTATGGACACCTTGGATGTATGTACACAAAAATGGAAAGTGAATTCGTGTTGACAGTTCAAATTTTATTTGATGTTCCGATCAGTACTAAAAACAGGTGCTTTTAGGTACTTCAAGTACCGGCCACCGTCCTCGCCGATCCCGTCGCTTGCGACGAAGAGCTCCACGAGTAAATTAACCCTCAAACACAGCCCACTGAGTTTCTTACCGGATCTTCTGTGGGTCGCGTTTCCGATCCGGTGGTAGATTCTGCGAAGCACTGTTCTTGCTAGAGCCAGTGTTAGCAACATCTCCGGTTCGAGCCCCGAGAGCTCACCTACACGCTAGGGTAACGCTAGCTATATCATATACATCTAAGTTTATCAGCATAGGTAAGAAAAAATAAAAAAATAAAGTCAATGCGTATGATCTCTTTAGAAAGCATACCTACACATTTTTGGATAAATGTTTAATCAAATCTATAATAGATTCTGTAATTTCAAGGCATTCACAGTTCATAAGTACAATACTTATTTGTTTTAATTTACCCCTAAAACCGCGAAATGAAATTTAAAATAGAGGCCGTCTAAAGCTTCAAAATTTCAGTGGAGTATGTATTGTGCGTGTTAACTTTGAAGGGGTGTAAATGGTGTTTCTAATTAGGTCATTGTAACAATTTATAGAGGAAAATTATTTTGAACAAAGTCAATAGAGAAAATAAGAGCCACTAAGCAAAGTGCATCATTATCTCTCCGCATTGAGAGGTTACCTTAACATTATATTTCGGTTTTGCTGATGAGAATGAATATTCATTGTTAGTAGAAAATATTAGTTAAGCTTGCTTGTTTCCATATTTCTTCTATTATTAAGGAATAGCTTTATGCAATAAAATGTAAAAACCCTTACAATTGTTATTTACGGTAGGAAAACATTATAAATTTAATACAATTGATAATTCAGCCGCGTTACTCCAGATTTGTCTTCTGCGGCAAGTTAACATCCAGTGAATCATGATCTAGAGTAATAAAATAAAATACCATAGATCCTTTGAATTATATTTAGGTTTCGTGCGCTGTGAGAATATTGTTAAAATATTTATACTTTCTCTATATTTTTTACGATGGAACGATCGCGGC